GTGTGAATTTACTTATTAACTAGATATAGAGGGTGTGTTATTTAGAGACACGCCGAGGCGTTATTTGAAACCATAGATGCTATTTTTAGAGGGCATGATTTTCTAAATAATGCCCCAGCCTGTTATTTCGTGACAATACTGTATTTAACAAAAAGTATAGTCAATTCTCTCAAAATTGATATACATAATTAACAAGTTTTGTATTGGTTTTGGGTGGTTATCAGATTTGAGAGACAACACAGACCAATCAAATTACAATTTTTTTTTTATATTTAAATAGATTCAAATGAACCCAAATTGGGGTTATTTGAACTTATGTTGAATTTAGAATGGAATAATTTGAACCTGAATTGGGTTTAAATAAACCCAAAATAGAATTGATTATTTGAACCCAGGTTGGTTCAAATAAACTAAAAATTCTTTCAGAAACTCAAATATTAAGATTATCAAATATCATAAATGGCAGATTATCAGAAATTATGTATGGAACTGGCTTGGTAAAAATTTTTGATTAATTATAGCAGGTTATAGTTTTGACAGTATCAGTTTTGCAAAATGATTTTCATACAAACTCTTTCTGATAATCATTTGGACCACAATTTCTAAAAACCTTTTACTAGAAAAAAATACAGTATACTAGAGTAAAGTTGACAGCTCTTACGTAAGATATGGGAAAAGGAACTGTAAGTTAGCAGCTGTTATTTAGAGGTAGTTTTCATATGCTACCTGTGCACAGCTTCAGAGTTTATCACTTACTAACTGCAAATATGGCACTTGTCATTTAAAAGTTGTTTTTATATGCTACTTGCCAACAAGTTTAGAGTTTATCACTTACTGAAAAAACCTAGTACTGTGCAGGCTCTGGTGAATAGTTGATTCTAGTAAAAGAAAACCTATGCTTTTTTAGTGGTTTTAAGTGTTTTCTCTTTCTCTCGCATCTTGCCGACCTCACCAAAAATTTTGACAAAAAGTAGGCATTTCAGCTTACCCCTCCAAAAGATCGGCTTTGTTTACACTTACCTAATTCAGATAAACTCAGTAGAATGCAACCACATGTTTGTTTTGTTTATCACTATGGTTCTATGGTATGGAATGAGATCGATATCCTCATTTAGAAGATACCTGACCCTGGTGATGTGTTCAAAACGAGTCCTAACATTAAAGCAAAACTTTATAGCTGAGATATATTAATTAGTTGCAATTAGTATATAATTTTTATCTTTATATCTGACATGGGTTATAATAGTGTATTTGTTTTCTTTTTGTTTCTTTTGTTTGTTTTTTTTTAATGTGGTTTATTAGGACTCCTATGTCTTTTTTCATCTTCATCCTATTATGATAAAACTATATTTAGAACCTCTTTTTTTTAGTTAAATATTTTTTTTTCTTTTTTCTTTCTTTTCCTAGATAATTTTGTTTTCTTTCATAGATGTGGCATATTTTTCTTCACTTATAGAAAAGTAAGAGATAAACTATTCTGCCCAGATCTAGGTGGAAAAAGTTTAAAAGAAAGGATAGGTAGTCTTGATGAACCGGTAAGAACCTTTTGGTGAAGATTTATTCTTTGAAAGTGCAGTAAAGAATATTTTGGAGAAGAATCCTGCCTATAGCAGGCAGTGTTAGAGATTTAAAACTTTTTTTTTGTTCTCTGAGAACATAAATTTTAAATTTTAGGTTTTCAGAAAGATTTTTAATATTCTTAAAAGTTTTTAGATATAATACAGTTTACAAATTTTATGTTCTCAAATGAGAATATAATTTTTAAAAATTGTGTTCTCAAAAATATTTTAATGTTCTTAAGAACACTGAGAACATTAGATATCTAACACTGATAGCAGGTCACACATGGGTAATTTGGACTCCGGTCACAAAGAGCCAGGTGAGCCAATACTTGTAATTTAGGTGGCATTAGGGTTTATACCCTTCAAAAATTTTAATATTTCACAGTATAATATTATAAAGCCTAATAAAGTAGAGGCAAGACTGCTGAATTTTTTTTTTTTTTTTAAAAAAAAAGACAGTATCGGTTTTGAAAGGATCGACTATATAATCATTTAATTGTTTATTAATTATTAGAGTATAAAGTTTAATTCTGTTCAATTTAATATTTGTGTTTCAAATAATATATAATTAACTGTAATTATTTAACTATTCAATAAATTGCCAAAGTAAGTTGAAGTTCAATGCTGTTTACTTTAACAATTGTGTTTTGAGAAAATGTATGTAATCATTTAATCATTTAATAAATTATCCGGACAACAATGAAGTTTATTCTGTTTACTTTAACATTTGTGTATTAAGGGTACTGTGTATAGATTACTAGTAAGCATATGAAGTTTTTCTTAATAGTAAATTACAGTAGATTATAATTTATCAAATTTGACTATATATTGTATATGTTACAATCATGTAAAAAAAATTTTTATTTCAATTTTGTACATTCATAGGATTAAAATAAGATATATATAATTTAGTTAGACGGTTGTTAAAAAACTTTATTTAAAGTTTAGAAAAAAAACTTTTTCTACTTATTAATAAAATAGTTGTACTTAAATTTTTTAAAAGCTTTCCTGATCACCACGTAGAATTAGAATAAAGGAAACTTAATTTAAAAATTTTAAAAATTTAAAGTATTTAACTATTAGTAGATAGAATAAAATTTTTCTAAATTTTGAGCAAAGTTTTTCTTAGCAGTTAATAAATTAAATAAACTAAATTTTTTTATTTTAATTCTATAAATATGTAGAATTAAAATAAAAAATTATCAAGGTTGATCAAGTAGTTGTTTAGAAAACTTTATTCAAAGGTTTAAAACGGTTAAATATTGTTAATTAATTTAGAGTTCCAATCTAGATAACCCGTCATCCGTTAATTCAGATCGCTTGGATATCCGGATAATTGACAGATATTCGGATACCGTATGTCCCCAACATGTGTACCCAGCGTGATAAATAATGTAGATCAATTTTTTAAAATACTATTTATATGTGCATGTGATGTAAATAATTGTGTAATTCATGTGATTTGTAATTTTTCACTATGTGAAAAATTGCATCACACCGGGTACACATGTTGGGGAAATACGGTAATTATTCGAATATCAATAGTAAATGGATATCCAAATAAACTCTTAACAGATTACCCTAAATTAGTTGGTAAATATAATATATTTATTTTTTTAAATTTAATAAAATTTTTTTTTAATTCTATAAAGTTGCAGAATTAAAAAATTTTTATTATATCCGGTTAGATAATCAAATCTGATAAATTTTCGATTTTAATCTTATAAATATATGAATTAAAAATTCATTAAATTTGGTTAAGAAACTTTATAATAATCTAAAAGGTATTTAAACTATTGCTAAATAAAGCAGATATTTTAAAATTATAAATGTGCGGGAACATGCACTAGAATATACCATCGATTTAAGATGTCATTTCCTAATGAATTGGCAAATACTTGCATAAATCAAATTAACGTTAAAATGATTAGTTTTTTATTGTTGCAGAGTCTTATATTCTCAAGCAGTTTTTAGATAGGTATGGCTCAATTCTCTTTTTGGGTTACTATAGTACCTTATTAATTATACAGTAATAATTAGTTTTCTATTATTTTAATGCTGTACATTTGTAGTTCTAACAATTCTGTTCGGGTCTTGCGTCATTGGATCACTATTTTAGGTATGCGTATAGAAATTGGTGCGCCATAATGGCTGGATAGAAATTAAATTCTCCAATCTGTATTGGAATAAGTTTACATATTGATATTAATGTTATCGTCGTTGTTTTACCATTTTACTATACGTAAAATAGATAGTAAACATATTTCTTAGTAAATTTGGTTAATTTAATTAATTAATTAATTTCAGGTTTAGGCTTCATCAATTCTCGTTAAGATATAGCACTTTATAAAGATTCTTATTATCGTTAATGGACAAGCTGTTAATTTATTCATTTAACAAAATTTTTTTTTAAAAGAAATGGCTTGAGGCGGAACTCTTAGTACAATCAAGAAAAGTCAAAAGCATAAGAAATAAAATACAAAACTTAACAGATTAATGTCTTTATAAAATACCGTATATTGTGATTGTTAGCTACTAAAATTTGACATGTTTATTATTGTAGTTGATTGCGTTATAGCGCACCAATCATGTAATACTTCATATGTTGGGTAACAAATAACTCGAATTTAACCCTCAAGGTTTTACATAGATTAAAGACCGGTAAAAACCGGTTTCAAGCTCTAATTTTTTTGCTGTTACTATAAAAGGAATAGTATGCCAAAAAAAAAAAAAATCAAATTTAGTTGAACTATGTAAATCGTAAAATATACTAATATCGGAAGTTCTGTTTAAGGGTACATAGTACGAATTCACGGATATTCTTAACTGTTAACCGAACAATCATGAATTTTCACTGTCCCTCGTAGAGTTTGTAGAGTTTTCGTACGTACGTACTACTTATGAACGACGCCAAGGGAAAATAGGACTTCAATTGCGTCCCATTTTCTCTTGGCATCACTAATATTCTAGTATTACTAATGATGATTTTCATAATATAGCTTGTTTTGGAAATTAAAGACGTTATCGTTACGTATTAATTTTAAGAATTCGTATTACGTCGGAAACCACAGTACTTACGGGGATGGTAATTTTCACTTTCACAATGTACGTGCATACATACTTCATGCAGGTGGCAAACATTTATTAAAGGGGGGCAAAAATTGACAATGAAGTTAATAACACAGGGATAAATGATAAATTATAGTTCCGACTACTATTTATTTTACGATCCTATATTTAATTTACCCATATGTAGAGGTAGGATTTATTAATGTACTCAATAATATTTCTAAACGCGGAAACGATATCATTTTGTATCACTTTTGATACTTAAAAAAACGGATAGTGATTTAATATAAATAGATTAGCCTTTAATTAAGGATAAACTCAGCCGACAAAAAAACATTGTTCACTTTTCAGCTTGGTTCAACGCTCAAAATGAACTTGGTTAACAAAACTAATAAATGTTGCGGCTGTGTTCCTTTAAGAGGGGGTGTCATTTTCATCTCTATTTTTTCTTTGGTAAATTACTTTAAAACTGAACGCGTACTTTCAAAGTATACTTGCTATCATTTAGTAATTTTTTTAAATACTTAGGTCGGATTAACATATATCGTTCTTAGTGATGTATTATCAATTTCAATCGATGATTGTAAGCATTATACTTAATTCATTCTCTTATATTCTTTTGCTAGAAACTAATGTCATTAATATATTTTTATAGATGGTATTGGAACGGTTGTAGATTTAGTTATAAGTGTCCTATTCCTCCCTGTGATTATCTTTGGACTTTTCGTTACTTGCTGCGAGGTATGTACTATGTAGTACTGTAGTGAGTGTGATGACGGTATTAATACAAAGTTTATTAACATTTTATTTACTTTATTTGATCATTTAAGAGAAAAGCATACCTTTTAAGAGTCTTTTCAATCCTTTATAATGTCTTTACGGTTGTCGAAATTATAGATTCTTTAATTTCAATCATTGTTATTGTTGCATATAGAAGTCCCGTTGTGAGTGATTGTTATAGTTCAAATCCGAATGTTGATTGTGATTATTTATATAGCAAACTTGAAGCACAAGTGATATTTGTTAATGTCATGATTATTTTCCTTATGGTATGTTTGACTTAATTTGTATTTTGCTCTCAACTTTAAATGATATGAAATCGTTAATCGGTTTATTTGTAATTTATAGACTCATTTTGCCTTGGTTATCGCTGCTTATGCTGAAAACCGTAAGGCTAAAGAAGAAAAGGCTTCAGCAAATATTGCTTCGGAAAGTAATAACCCTCCAGTGCATAAAGTTTTGGATGATTCTTCAGCAAATGAAACTCCAATACGCAGTGCTCCTGCGAAATGTTAATTAGGAAATGCTGTATATGTGATTTAAAATTTTTTATGCGTTCTGTGTACAGCAAGCCCTCTATAATGCACCCCATAGGGACTAAAACTTGAATAACATTATGTATTGAGTCGGAATTTTTAAGTGCATTACGGGGGTATTGCATACAAAAAGGGTGCATTTGGAGAGGTCGATTTTTTTTTTCTTTTTTTTTGTCATTATTTACTGCACAATTGTATAAGCTAAAGAATTTTTGTCCCTGGAAAAGATTAGTTAAAATAAAAATTAATTATTTACGCTCCATGTAAGACTAAAAAAAAACTTTTTATTATATAGTCCAATTATATACGTGTATACTTTATAAATTATTTTTTAAATAATTTATTTCGCTGGTTCAATAACTTTTTTTTTTCTTTTGCTGCTAGCAAGTAAAAAAAGCATATCAAATAGTCGTAAAAATTTATTTAGTGAAGACGACAAAGATTGAAAAGTCTCCCCAACGCATGTACCGATTCAGCTTTAATAATTTACGGGAGAAAGTTGATTCTCATTAACAATAGATAACAATAGATAATAGGGTTACAAATAAATTTGGATATCTTTATAATTGATAATTATAACAAGAAATTTAGATGTTTCCGTTTGACAGCATAACTTCATTTTCTTTATTCTCAAAAACAAGTAATTAGAGTTTTAATTAGAGTTTGATATATTGAATAAAATGTTTAGCAACGCAAAAAAGCTTAATTTCTGACTATACTCCAAGTTTTAATTCTAAAACCCAAGATTTGAGATTATAATAATAAGTATAAACTGTGTAATTCACCTCTAGTAATATAGAAAAAAAAAAAGAATAGATCATCTCGTTAGTTTTTTATAAATGGTCATATCTCAATGAATTTTGAAGCTATCTTGATCTAATGTTCAAAAGAAAGTTTAGGTCGTAAGCTTTCTTTTGATATTAAATCATTCAGATAGTCTCAGAATCCACCGAGTTATGAGCTATGAAATTAAGGTGTTGATTTTTTTAAAAGTGTCAATCTGCCTTATTTCTTTCTAAAACTTTTGCCATATTAATCATATTAACGTTAATCTTAAATCATGAAGTTGATTAAATTTGTTTATTAAGTGTTTTTAATGAATGTCGCCAAAAGCAGAAAAGAAACCCAAAATCTAAAAATAGATCACATAGATCACTTATGAATTTCATAAGTGATCTATGTGATCTATTTTTAGATTTTCGGGTTTTCTTTTGGCGACATTCTGTTAAGATCACGATCCGGAATTAGTAATTTAATCTACATATTTTTTTTATTTAAATCTACAAATACATAAACCTTTTTAAAAAAATTCAATTAAACTTACTAAAATTGATAAACGTTGTTGGTATTGTGCAATTAGACGTTCAAATTTGAGTATTAGCAACGTCATTCCCTAATCCCTTGTTCCCTCCCGTGATTTTTGACCAATCAAATTTCAATATCAGGTGTGATGTAAACAATCGAAGCAACCCCATTTTTTTTTTTTACAAAAAAACAGAAATAATTCAAAATTTTAATTAAGAAACCACCTTCTGCGGCATAATTAAAAATAGAAACTCTATCGTCCTAACCTTAACACTAACCAAAATTACAACGTTTTATTCACAGTAAAAATTACAGGGGCAATTTTTGTGGGTGCGTTCCATAGGAAGACTTTCGCAGTTTAAATAAATTTAATTTTACATTATTTATACAGTTTAAAGTACTTTTTTAAAAAAAAATAAAACTACAAAGAATAAACAAAAAAGAAGTATGCAGAAAGTTTTATTAGGATTATAGGACTCCACTATTAAAATAATCAAAATGATTTCTGGTTTTAGAAAAGTTAGCATAGTAATCTATATATCTTTTAAAAAGTCGTTATTATGCTAACTTCTCTAAAACCAGAAATCATTTTGATTATTTTTAATGGTTGAGTCCTACAACCCTAATAAAACTTTTTATACGTTTCTTATTTGTTTATTCTTCGTAATTTTTTTTTTTTTTAAAAAGTACTTTAAACTGTAAAATTAAATTGATTTAAACTGCCAATCATACGAAAGTCTTCCTATGTGGACTATCCCCCCCGGAAATTAAACAAGCCAATCATAACACAGCATAAACTTCATTAATCATATGAATAAGGTTGACCAATGAGATTTGAACAAATATTCTTGGGAATATATGTGTGCCACCAAGGAAAAACCTATAAGTCGTACTTTTTGAATATAATAAAATCAGGCAATTTATTGAATCGTCTCATTAAGATTATTCAAAAGATATTAAAATTATAGGTATTAAATTGCCCAATTTTAAGATATTTTTATTAAAAGTAAATATTCAAAAAGTACAACTTGGGTTTTCCCTTGGCGGCACTCATATTGTTTTTTTAAATTTCCCCTCTTGTGCCACTGTTTAACATCCGAAAAACTTTTGACTGTTTTATATTAAAGTATTTATTTATATACCCGACTTTTAAAAAAATCGACTAAATTAGTCGACTAATGCTATATCGACTTAAACCACAAATTTAATTTATTGTTTAATGTTCGATACAGTCAGACCTCTTTAAATGCATATTGTTGGGACCAGCTCTGAAG